AATTTCAAAGGCAGAAGCGCCACCAGTTCCCTGCTGTGTCCCGGCCTCTTCTCCCCACGGAGATGGTGCTGGGTGGAACTGGCTTTTAAGCTGGCTCCCCCCCCCCAGCATCAGATCTTGCTCTCCCCCCTTGCTGCCTCTCTCTGATAGAGGCAGCAAGTAAGAGGAAGCGACTAGTTAAGTCACTAGTCGCTTACACCCGTATTACCTTGAGAGGTTATCTAGTCCAATACTCTGCACTGAGGCAGGATTGTCATCCCTGACAGATATTTGTCTATACTGGTCTTAAAAACATCCAGTGACAGATTCTACAACCTGCTTAGTGACTTATTTCAGTGTTTAATCCTTCCTAACCCTTGTAGTGAGGAAGTTTGGCAGTGTCTAACTTGAATTCTCTTGCTATAATTTAAAGCTAGAATTGAGTGTACGTAATAGCACTCATGTGTTTTGGTTTTTTTTTCCTTTAAAGGGAACAAACAAAAATACTATTTTAATAATGAATTCTATGCATACATTAGATTAGAGGTACTAACTGAATGTAGGGTTCCATAGTACTAGGCACCATACAAACACATAGTAAGAGATTTACTTTCATGAAACAGGCAAAACGAGGGAGGGGAAACAGAAAAGATGTAATTTGGTTTTGAACTGCTGATGTTTCTCAATTGCCCCAGATTCACTTTGGGAAGAGGGAGAATCGCTAACAAATGTTAAGTTCCCTAAAAGGAAGGTGTGGGGGTGAGTTGTGAGAGACAGACACATATACACACACGTGTACACACAGACTCTAGCATGCACTTTGTTTTCCTATGCATGAGGTGTTTGCAATACTCACAACCAATGTTTCTGCTAACTTTTTCCATCCATGTGCAGAATAACTTTTATGTACACCAAGGCATATGCATATGTGCACTGCCAGTAGAAACACATGTGGGCAGCTATGGGTGCTCTGCTAATCATCTGGGTGGCCCCTGAATCTCTCCTGTGTGGCTGCCTAAACGCAGCTGTCACCCTACGCCAGGATCCCCCCTCCAGTAATCCCTGAGCCTGCGTCCGTTGGGGGATGGGGTGCCATGGTGGGGAAAGGGCAGAGTGATGGTGGGAAGTGGCAGGGCTTGGGGACTGGACTGGACACCTCCTACCCTGGCCTGCCAGGACTGCTGGGCCAGATTGTGCACTGCCCTGGCTGGGGATGGCCCGTGGCCAGGAGTTTGAGACCCCTGCTCTAGACTCTAAGCAGGTAGTTTTCTTTCTATATTTTCTGAAATTTAAAATAGTGTTCAAATTGAATATGTATTTAGGCTGTGTTCATCCTTGAACACAAACGCTTTCTTGGAACGGCAAGTGTTAAGAGTAGTGAAAAGTGGCTGTATCTGAAATCCATCTGACTTGTGTGCAAATCACTTTTAGCCTTTAGTAGATCATTTTCACAGTACTTCTTTTGGCATAGTACCCAGAAATGCCACTGATATGCCTCAATATTGATGGTGGTAGGACTTAGTGAGCTGAGTCCTGAGGTGAAGGAGTGGGCTGAGGAGAACCTATCCTGAGTCACATGTTATGTGGTAGAAGAAGCCTTGTAACCCCCGAACGGGAACCAACTAAAAGCCTTCAATAGAAGAGCATGGGTGATGGGCAAGAGGTAGTGCCCTTCTCCTGTGTTTGTTTTATATAATTTGCAGCCTGCTGCTTAAAATCTATCCATATGTCTGTCCTCATTTTGCCTCTGAATCTGGATCAATAAAGCTGTTCTTTTAATCAAGCAAGAGAAAACTGCAAGAAACTTTAGAAGAGAAAAGTCATGTTTTCCGGGCACTGTATTTATTCAGTAATCCTTGAAAGCTAGAACATTTACTGATACTTTTGCCAGGCACATTACTTCTCCTGTCTACTGCCAAACAATTTGACTACAGGCAAATGAGGTCTGAATCATGGTATCATTGTTGCATGCTTTATTACTTTAACAAACTATCGCTGTCAAATAAATCAGACTCCCTACAAAATGAAGTGGCAGCATGAGTTGCACCTAGAAGAATTCAATACAACTTGTGTTCCTCTTCAGCATCCTGATGGCATAGTAATACTGCTAATAAGACTTGATTAAAAATTCTTGTCTCACACCATTGTGAATGAACAGTGCTACTGTTAGGAATGGTGGGGGTAATAAATGTATTGCTTTAAGGAAAATACTTGACTTTGTGTTTTATAGAGTCAGCTAATATTTGCTAATTCTTTTTTGTATTCTTTTAGGGTACGTCTGTACTTGCTCCCTAGTTCAAGCTAAAGATGCAAAGGTAGGAAACTGAAATTGCTAATGAAGTGGGGATTTAAATATCCCGCGCTTCAATAGCATGATCTTGCCGGCGCGTTACTCTGATCAACAGCTGATTCGAACCAGGAAGGGGGTGCCGGGATGTGTTAGTTTGAACCAAACTCTTTGGTTCAAACTAATGTTACTCATTTTTTGAGGAGTAACGTTAGTTCGAACCAAGAGGTTTGATTTGAACTAACATGTCCCGGTGTGCACTTTCACTTTCGAATCAGCTGTTGATCAGAGTAACGCGCCGGCAAGATCATGCTATTGAAGCGCGGGATATTTAAATCCCTGCTTCATTTGCAATTTTGGTCGCCTACATTTGCATCCCTAGCTCGAACTAGGGAGCAAGCGTAGACGTACCTTTATAGAATAACATTTTAGTTGAGACAAGCTTCATTTGATTTACTGAATTGGTCATTAGGAGACATCATTTCCATTTCGATGGCATATAAGCTGCTGAATGGGAGCTATGGAAGTTGTTACTTTCTGCTGCAATGTTGTGTGTGTTGCACACAAAGTATCTGGCTGGGGAGTAGCGGACTCTTATATGCGTAAATCTCATTTTGTGTATGAACTGCTGGTTTGCATACAATAGTGTATTTAGATATAGAATATATTTAATTTAAAATGTGTCTTAATATCTAACTTTAAACTACTAAAAAAATCAACTCATCCTGTGGCTTTATGTTCATTCCTTAGGAATGGCAAGATTATAAGATGTATGTTGCTTTATATTGTGTGTGCAAGTACTTTGCCTTGATATGCTATTCTGAGAATGGTGTTGTGCCCTTCATTTACAATTTTCTTGGTACTATGACTTTAAATTAATCAAGTTGTGTTTTGCAAATGATATTTAATAATTTTTTAAGGCCAAATGTTCAAAACTCTAGTTCTAAATTTCATCACACACAAATACATGTACAAACTAAACCCTAAGGCACTATTAATTCTGCAGATGCTATATCAGCCTTGGACAAAATATGGTCCGCGGGCTGGATCCAGCCCACTGAGCCACCAGATCCGGCCCACAGAGGCTGCGGGGAGCCCCAGGCAGGCTCCCTGCTTGTCTTGCAGCCCCACATGCCATTCAGAAACATGGCTGCCTTTTCAAAATTGTAATCCTGGAGGGAAGGGGGAAAAGCTTCAGGCGCTGCCCCCGCTCCCAGCACAATCCCATTGGCCGGTTTCTGGCCAGAAACTGGCCAATGGGAACTGCCTCTTTGAATAACAGGCAGCCATGAAGAACCATGTCCCTTTTCCTCCGGCTTAGTTATTCACACAAGCACATGGCTGGGCACGTAGGCAGGCTGGCTGGTTGAGAAACATTTTAAGCTCTGCAAGCCGTTTGCTTTACAGGCAGGCAGGCTTGTTTGGCTGCTGGATGGTAAGTCGCTGGCCAGAGCCTGTCTGTGGCACCCCCAGTCCCTTCCTTCCTCTGCCCCCCACTCTTGCCTCCCTTCTGCACCCATATCCCCTCCCAGATCTGCCACCCCATTCTCCTGCCCCAGATCACAATCCCATCCTGCCCTAAGTCACATCCCAAGACCCTGCACCTCAGTCCCCTGCCCTAGGTCACAACTGCCTCCTTTACCCAGACTTCCTCCTAAACTCCATTCTCTCCCCTGCACCCCAGTCCCTTACCCCAAGCTCCCTTCTGCACCCAACCTCCATCCCACACCCTGCACCTCCTCCATTAATATCATGGAAGCGTGCGGCCCTCGACCATTTTCTAAAATCTTGGAGTGGCCCCCCATCGAAAAATATTGTCCTCGCCTGCTCAAGATTTTTCTCCCCAGAGCAATGTTCATCAGTTGGGTATAAAACTAGTTATCTAGAATCTCAACTAATTAAAAGGCAGCTAAATATGTATTAAATATCATCCTGATATTTACTCTTGCATGTCAGAAATTTTTGTGGTTACCAGGTGATTAACGCCTTGCGCAAAAAGAAATGGTAGAAAATATGCTAACGATATCATGACTTATGCTAATGAGTCCCTCATTAACATGTTTTATGCTGCAAAAACTCGCAGTGTAGACGAAACCTCTGAGGCCTGCCAGTGGTTAGCCCTAATGAACAGCATGTGGCCCATGGAATGGAGGTACTCTATCCCTTCCTTAGAGTACTGAACAAGTTTATGTTGTCATTTTATAAATTAAAAAAAAATGAATGGATAGTCTTATTTTTTCTTGATTTGACATGGAAAAATGGTCATGCTGAATTCTGCAAACCTTAGTGTTTAAATGCATACAAATTAAGTGGTGTGTATATATACAAATAAATTAATCACATTATCCTTTGGTATTTAAATGAAGATGGTGATTTGCTTTAGCAGAAGGTAAAAATGAAAAATTCTAGGAAAGCCTTTCTTCTCTCTGATGATAGCCAGGAATATCCCCTTATCCGTCCCTCAAAATCCTGTCAAACATGACTTGTGAATCATGCCTAGAAAATCACTAAAGCCAAGTTCATTGAATCCAGTCAAGTGTGAGGGAGCAAGTCCTAGAAAGTAAAAGAAAACAATATTGATACTAAAAGTGATTCGGTTTAAACACCTCCAATGACTGCAGTTGTGGCAGGTCTCTCATTAAGGAAGGGAACATAATAAAGTGCTGGCAACACTTGTTTTTTTAAAATGCAACTTAAGCAGGATTAAAAACATCTGAAACATACAAACAAACAAAAAAGATCCAAACAAAAGCATGTTATGATTCTCTTTAAAGTGTTTTTAAAAGAAATAAAAAGCTTGGTAAATAATGTTTTTGAAAAGTCTGTTCCCTTGGACAAAGAACATGTATCAAATCACTGTTAAGCACACACTAAAATCGAGCAGTAATAAAAGCCTCAAGTAGTGTGTTTATTGAATATTACAACAAACCTTTATGGATGGTCCACTAAAATATTTTGCAGATAAAATAGCTTTGTGGAAGAACAAATCTGAAATACTGACTTCCTCCTCCTTACTGTGCTATCTTGAAAACATAATCCATGAGTAGTACAGTTACTGCACAATAGACAGTGAATAAAAGATGTGTCTAATGGCTTGGAATGCTGCCACCCCCTTTGGTGGGAGGATGTTAAATGGAGTAGCCATGAGCAAGTGTTTTTGAAAAAGATAAAAACACTGTGGTGTCAATTCAGAACGGAACTTATGCTGTAAATTAAGCATGTTGTGCTCAAGTGTTGTCCTAAACAGAGAGATTTTCCTGAAATAGTGTTAGTACTTGAAGATATCTGCATATTGTCAAGAATGCAACTGATGCAAACAATGGGAAAATTTTATGAATGTAATAGTATTTTTGTTTTACCATATTGAAGGCTGGGAAATTATTTAGCGCTAAAGATCGTGAAGTGTGTACTGCAGAAACCTCAGGACTATGTATGTTTTTCAGTCCAGTGTGGGAACAGTTTTTCTTAAATTCAGAAAATACTAGGATATTGGTAACAGAAAAAACTAAATGTCATTTTGAAAGCTAGTTAATTAAAAAAATTAAGTTGAAGATAACTGTGTCTGCCTCAGTCCTCCTACCAATTTAAGTATGCCTGTACTGCACACATCCTCTAATGGTCCAAAGAATATGCTGTATGCCCCCCTACAGGTGTAAATAACAGTTAAGATGTTGAATCACATCTTAAGCAAGTACAGCCTGTTCCCGACTTACGAACCGGTTACGGACCAAGTGATTGGTGGTAGCTCGGTTCATTCGTAAGTCGGACCCCATAGAGTTACACGTGACCACGCTGTTCATAAGCATGGATCGCGTTCATAACTCAGGGTCCGCCATTTACAACAGCTTTGGTTGTAACTGCGAACTGTCGTAAGTCGATTGTTCGCAACTTGGGGACCAGCTGTAAAGATACACCTAAATCTTGTGGGTAGTATACCCTGCCTGGCTATCTGCTTTGCCCAAGCAATGTCTCTCGAGTCTATTCTGCTGTTCTTAGCAGCGTAGTATCTCTCTGCCTCCTAGTTGCTTGAGCTTTTGCTTGACACAGGAAACTGTCAGAGCCTTTCAGTGACACATGTGGACACAACAGCTTGTTTCTCATAGCAGTGCGTAGCTACACATGCCCTATATGATGCTGCAACTAGTGTGTAGTATAGATGTACCTTGTGTGGTGTTTTACTTAAAATGTGTTTTCTTTTCTGTTATGTCTCAAAGACCCACACAAATGAGGGATTCTTCTTCGAGTAGTGTCCCCATGAGTGCTCCACTCTGGGTACCAGTGTGTCCTTGTGCCGGCGGCTGGAGATTTTTCTAGCAGTGTCTGCCTCGCATGCACTGTGGCGCTCTCTCATGCTGTTAGAGTCCGGTTGGTGTGTGCACAGTGCAGCTTCCTCAGTTCCTTCTCTACCGTTCTTGGCAGCAGACGGAGCTTCTTCTCTCCCTTTTGTTTCTACAAAAATGAGCAAAAATGGTTAACTCCCCTGAGTTTCCTCAGATTTCCATATTTAAGACCCCCTACCCTGATCCTATAGTTTAAAAAAAAATTTCGTCATCAAAGGCCTGCCACTTCTTGGTACACCTAATGCCGGGATCTCCCAACTTTAAGAAGTGTGAGTTGTGCTAGGATGCTATGCCCGTCTCAGACGGGCATTCTGCCTGTATAAAGTGCCTTGGAGAAGCTCACCAGACACAAGTGGCCTCACTGCTCCAACTTGACAGTCAGAGCACGCCGTGACCACGCTAACAGGTTAAAAGCCTTCCTGTACGAAAAGTCGCTTCAGCCACCTTCCGAGAACATATCATCTGCTTCAAAGTCAACATCAGAGCCGAAAGGTATGGACAAGGCACGTCCCTCTACCTCTTCAGGCAAATCTGCTTCAAGTACCAGCCTGTCCCCAGGCAGATCTCTTCCCTCAGCTCCGACTACGCCGAGGGTCAGCACCGCGAATAGGCCTGGCACCTCTGGCACGGCACTGTCTGAGACTTCAGCACCGCATCAGAGAGCACGCTCAGAGCCCAAACAAAAATAAACGGCACCGATGGCAGGAACTTTTAAAAAAGGTGGCGTTAGCACAAGAGCGAGACTTACAGGAGATTCAGGAAAAACAATATCGCTTTTTGCGAACTTTGAAACGTCCTACCTCCTCCAGGATTGCCCTCCCTTTTGGACCCAGCAGACAACATCTGGCAGACCCTGGCATCCATCACTCCAACAAAAGAGCAGACCAAAAATATTTCATTACACCAAAGGGACTTCCTTTTCACTCACCCTCCACCAAACTCCATGGTAGTCGATTCCGTTAGACATAAATCCAGACAGCCCAATATGAGATTAACACCACCGGACAAATACCACCAAAAATGGACATTATGGGTTGTAAAGTATACTCCTCGGTCACTCTGCCCCTCAGAGCAGCAAAATATATCGCCATGCTAGCGGATTATGATTATTCCAACTATTCGAAACTCTAGGACCTTGTACAATTCCTACATAAACACAAAAGGCCTATCCTCCTCAACATCATGCAGGAGGGCCACATAGTCTCTCACACCGCAATACAATCCACAATGGCCCAGGGAGCCATACAGATACAACTGCATGCATTACAGCCTTGGCTGTTGTGATGCGTGGAATATCTTGGCTCCAAGCTTCAGGGGTGCCAAGGGATTTGCAGCAAAAAGTTGAGGACCTGCCCTTCGATAAGACCAACCTCTTTGCTGCAAAAACCAACAAAGTACTTCATTCGATGAAGGACTCCCGCACTACCCTTTGGACCCTGGGCATGTACATTTCCCCCTTTTAAGAGAGCCAGTTACAACTACCAAAGGCCCAGGGAGACATACAAACAATGACCAAGGTATGACTTCTGACAAAAACAAAGGCCCCAGTGACGTAGACCTCAACGCCAGCAACATCAACCAGTGGCAGCCCAACCTTCTACATCCAAACAGCAAATCTGAAGGTTTGGTTGAGAGCCAGAAACTCACTCTCCTTGTGGTTACACCATTGACCAATTATCCACAATTCAACCATCGCCTCTGCCCATTTTTTCAACAGTGGACTCAAGTAACATTGGACAAATGGGTCCTAGAGCTCATCCAATATGGTTAGTCCATCCCTTTCCTTTCTCCTCCTCCTGCTCACCCTCACACCCTATCCCTGTTCACGGTCCCATCTCAGGAGACCCTCGTCGAACAAGAGGTACTTCACCTTCTCTGTGTACCAACAGAGAAGTACCAACAGAGTTCCAATGGTGAGGGTTCTACTCAACTTATTTTCTAACACAGAAAAAGAATGGAGGGTGGAGGCCTATTCTGGATTTAAGGAAGAAGCTCAACAAATATGTAGTTTACCACCGATTCAAGATGATCACCCTAGAAAGAATCCCAGCACTAGATCAAGGAAATTTGCTTTTGGCTCTCAACCTACAGGATGCGTATTTCCATATAACAATTCATCCTGCCCACAGGCGTTTTCTACAGTTCACAATGAGCTGTCACCATTACCAATACCAAGTGCTCCCTTTTGGCCTTTCAGTGGCTCCCAGAGTGTTTTCCAAAACTCTAGCCATCATAGTGGAATGCCTATGTCATCAGGGAGTCATAATATTTCCATACTTAGACAACTCTCATAAAAAGCATGTCCTTCCAAGAGGCAAAGGTCATGATCGAGACTACCATGAACCTCCTTCTCTGCCTCAGCTTCCATATAAACTGCAAGAAATCCACATTCCATCCCACTCAGATGTTGGATTTTATAGGAGCACGCATCGATACCGTCGCAGCCAGAGGCACTTTACCCGCACACAGATTCGACATCCTATGCAACCTCATAGCAGTAGTACAGGCAACCTCTACCATGACAGTTCGCGAATGCCTGAAGATCCTAGGCCACATGGCCACCACAGCCTATGTCATCAGGCTGGCGAGGCTCTATATAAGATGCTGTCAGTCTTGGCTTGCCACATTCTGTCCAGAGACCCACTCTCCCAAGTCAGTTACCATTCTGCCACGGGTCCTCGCCAATGGAATCAGCCAGACATAGACCTCTTTGTGACGAGGACAATTGCAAATGCCATCTTTACTGTTCCAGAGCAGCCTTAGGGAAGCACTCCTATAGGGGATGCTTTCTCCATCAAATGGGATGCACCATTACTCTACGTGTTCCCACCCTTCCCTGTGCTTCACAAGGTCATTATCAGAATCAGAACAGAATGAGCCTCTGTGATTCTTATTGCACGAGCGCGGTCAAGACAAACATGGTATCCTTACCTCCACAGAATGATAGTAATGGATCTATACACTTTTCCACCTCAACACAATCTCCTCTCCCAGAATCATGGCGCAGTTCTTCATCCTGAACTGCACAAACTCCATCTCCATGCCTGGCTTCTTCATGGATCCAGGATGCCGAAAACACCTGCTCAGAAAGAGTAAAGCAGATACTAATCAACAGCAGAAGAGAATCCACCAGGGGAACATACCTATACAAATGGAACAGTTTCTCCTAGTGGCTTAAACATACTCACACTATACTGCCTGAAACTGCTCTCCTCATCCTCCTATTGGACTACCTCTTGTACCTTAGGGAGTCGGGCCTGGCTTTAAGTACTATTATGGTTCATGCAGCTGCTATAGCAGACTTCCATTGAACCCCTGAAGATGAGTCTTTCCTCTCAAACACAATCACCAAAAGGTTCCTCACTGGTCTACAAAACACTTTTCCATCCATTTGCCCACCAGTTGTCATTTAGGACCTCAATCACTTAAGAGCCTGACGAAACCACCTTTCGAGCCCTTGGCCACCTGCCCTTGATCATACCTATCTATGAAGGTCTCTTTTCTAGTTGCAGTAACCTCCAGCAGAAGAGATGGGGAACTTGCTGCCCTAATGGCAGACCCCCTCCTTATACAATTTTCAGCAAGGACAGAGTGATGCTTTGGCCCCACCCCAAATTTCTCCCGAAAGTTCCCTCTCCCTTCCACATCAATGAACTGATACACTTACCTGCATTTTTCCTCAAGCTGCATACTGACTCATCACACACGGCATGGCACACACTCGATGTCTGCAGAGCACTTGTTCCACATTGATTGTACAAGAGCCTGACAAATATCTCAACTCTTCCTCTCTTTTGCGGAATAATCCAAAGAACAGGCTGTCTCTTCTCAGAGGATCTTTTCATGCATCCACATATGCTACACCCTCCACAACAAAGAACCACCTGGTACCATCATGGCCTATTCCAGCAAGGCTATGTCCTCCACAACCGCCTTTCTCAAATGTACCTCTTGAGGACATTTGCAACGCAGCCACTTGATCATCAGATCACACATTTGCACAGCATTATGCTCTTGCACCTTCCATCACGTCATCTATGGCTGTCCGACAAGCATTATTATCCTCAGTGACAGGACTCCAATCCCGCTTCCATGAGCCGATTACCGCTTTATAGTCACCCAGAGTGGAGCACCCACGGGGACACTTCTCAAAGAGGAAGAAAGAGTTACTCACCTTGTGCAGTAATGGTGGTTCTTCGAGATGTGTGTCCACGTGGGTGCACCACGACTCTCCTTTCTTCCCCTGATTTGGAGTCCCATGCTCTACTAGTGTGGGTACAGAAGGAGCGGATGGAGCTGCACCACGCACACGCCTAATGGACACTAATGGCACGAGGGAGTGCCACAGTGTGTGCGCAGCGCAGCAGAAACTGCTAGAAAAATCTCTGGTCACTGGCGCGAGGATGCACCAGCACCCAGAGTAGAGTATCCACAGGGACACACATCTTGAAGAACCACGGTTACTGCACAAGGTGAGTAACTCTTTCTTCTGATAAAGGTGCTGTGAGAGGCACACACTAGGAAAAAACATGATTTTTCTCTATTGTGATGCAATAGTTTAGGTTTTATTTGTAATGCTAGTAGGTACAGTTTTTAAGTGACAGGAATGTAATTTGTTTTTTAGCTCATAGATTTCTTTCAACTGTTTGTTCAGGTACTCTATATACCATCCTTTCCATATATGTCAATGAAAATTGGCACATTAACTTAAACATGTATATAGTTACATCAGGGGTGGTCAACCCATTCCAGATAAAGAACCACGCTAGCAGTGGAGACAGTATGAAGAGCCGGGGCAAAGTTGTTTTGAAGGGGGGGGAAAAAAAAAAAAAGGCACCACGCTGGGGGAAAATAGGTGTGCTGGTACATCCGTCCCAGGGCACGGGTGTGTTTTGTTTTTTGTTTGTTTTAACCACTTTTCCCTGGGTCTTCGTGACTCTTCCACTCCCCCCCCTTTTTTTTGGCTCAACAACTTTGCCCCGGCCCTTTGCGCTGTCTTCACTGCTATTGTGGCTCACAAAAAAATCACTGGGAATGGGTGAGAGGTACAAGCTCTGGGAGATAATTTGGGTGCAGGAGGAAGCAGAGAAGAGGATGCTGGCTCAGGGAGGGGGCTCCAGGCTGGAGAGTGTTGAAGTCAGGTGGAGGGTTGGGGTGCAGAGCAAACCGCAGGCTTGTGGCTGTGAGGGTGCAAGAGTTTGGGCTGGGATGCATGAGGAGCTCAGGGCAGGGAGGCTGGGAGTATGATGAGCTCAGGACACAGATTTGCAGTGTGTGGATGGTGCAGGAGTGTAGTAACAGAAGACTGGGGCTGTGGGGGTGCAGGAGTTTGGGGATGTGAGATGCTCAGTACAGGGGGTTCCAGTGTATGATAGGCTCAGGTTTGGGGGCGGGGTGTGTGCGCGTGCGGGAGTGTTATGATGCTGCAGCCAGATGGCGGCTTGGCCCCAATTGTGGGCTTGTTGGCCCCAATTGTGGGCTTGTTTGCCAGATTTCATTTTTAAATAAAATATTATGTTAAACACAAAATGTTTCAGCATTGTCTTTATTTATGAGGGGGATGGAGAACCTGTTTTGAGTGAGGGGTCAGTGACCCACAGAAAAGTCAGTTGGGGCCACACAAGTGAGATGCAAAAAAACAACCATTCCAAAACCCCCCCAGGCCTCAATAATGTGGCCCCAATTGTGCTGGTAGGGCAGGAGACAGAGTGCTGGGGCAGGGTACTCATGGGGGTGGGTCTGGCCAGGAGGAGGGGACAGAGACCACTGGGGCCAGTATCTGGGGATCCCGGGTCTCAGAAAGTACACTGGCTGCTCTAACCCAGTCTCCTCCCCCAGGCACCTCCCCTGCTCTAACCCAATTCCCCTCCCATTCCCCAGAGCCAGGCACCCCCCCCAACCCAATCCTCCTCCCCTTCTGCAGAGCCAGGAACCCTCCTCCCCTGCTCTAACCCTCTCCCGTTCCCCAGAGCCACACACACCCTCAACCCTATCCCCACCCCCAGAGCCGTGCACTGGCCCCCCTCTATACCAATCCCTCTCCCCTCCGCTCTAACCTAATTCTCGGGTCCCGGAGGCGGAGCCGCCACTACAGCCACATGCATCTCCTTCCAAGTGTTGGGGCATATGCACTGAGCGGCCGGCACTCTGTGCACACCCCTCTCCTCTTCCCCCCCCTCTTTTCCGTTCCCCTCTTCTCCCCCAGAGCCACACACCTCCCCTTCCCAGTTTAACCCAATCCCTTTTCCCCACTAACCTTATGCTCAGGTCCTGGAGCTGCCTCTGGTGCTGCCGCCATGCCTGGAGCTGCTGCCTGCACTCAGCAGCCGGCTGCTAGCACATGCAGGCTGGGACGCTGTGTGCGACCCAGCCTGCACATGCAGGATAGGGCGTAGTGCGTTGGGGGCTGTGAGTGGAACGGTTCCGTCAGGAGCCACAGTTTTTTTCTTCGTAAGCCGAATGTGGCTCATGAGCCGCAGATTGGCCATCCTGAGTTACATGACTGGAGATCAGATGTATTTAACACATGTTTTAAATTACCATTTAACATTCTCTGTTATATGGTTATTTTGTAAATAGCTTTTCCAATTTTAATATTGATATTGTAATATATTAATTTGCATAGTGTTTAATATGTTAATTTTTGTGTAAATAAAATAGTGATGTTAGTGTAACCCTTCTGCCAGGTCGAATTAATAGCAGCAAGGGCTGGGTTCAGTATCTAGGGGTCTCCTCCTAACAAGGTAATACAATGGCTCGAGCCCCCACCCAGTGACCTGGGAAATCTTACATACACCTCTGGGTGCCTCAAAGCACAGAGCCTCAGTATAGCAGCAAACCTTTAATTACATGAGGTAACCGACATCAGCATTAACTTGGGAAAACACCACAACTTTGATTCATAGACCAAACATGAGCAAAGACCCTCCCCCCAGCCACGAATCCCCCAAAGTCCCAAAAGTCCAACACCCCAAGAGTCTCTGCCCCTGGTCAGTACCGCCCCAGGGTTCAAAAGTTCACCTGGCAAGGTTTTACCATCCCAACCTGGAGGGGCGGGGATTGATACACCTTACGTGGTCCGCCGATGGCTCCGCCTCTCCGTATGCCACTGGTTCCACCTCTCCGTAGGGTTCTGCCACCGCCGTCAACGCGAGTCACTCCACCTATCGTCCAGTGAGCCGCCTCAGCTGTCCCACGAACTGTCTGGCTCCGCCTGCCGTCTCGGTCCATGCCCCTGGCTGCCAGCTGGTTGCTCCTGCTGCTGCTCCACTGGCTGTCTGCTGCCGCCGCTGTCCGCCTGTGCTTGCTGGTTGTCCCTTGCAAGCTGCTCTGCTAGTAGCTCAGCACCAGGCTCCCCTCAGCAACAGTGATTTCAGCTGTTCAGCAAGTTCAGCTCATAACAGAGGGCTCCACTGGCCCCCAGTGAAGTTAATTCTGCAGCTCACAACTAGACTCCTAATAGAATCCAAATTAGTTCTGATATTCCACAGTGGAGACAGGAGGAGGTATAATCAGTGTTGTTTAGACCCTCAGACAGGGCCCTACCACCAGGTACAAGGACCTGTCCCCAGCCTCTCTCAATTTGGCTGGGTTTGGAACCCATGCCCCTTGTGTAGCAAGTGCTACTTAGTTTATGGCGAATCCCTCTGTCATAAACAGTTCCACCATTCCATTGTCCTTGATTCGCCTAATCAGGGCAACAACACTTTTATTCTCCCTGCCTCAATAATAGAGAGACTGGGGATCCCACAGTGGCCAAAGTGACCATTTGGGCTGCTGGGAGCACATACTAGACGGGGTGAGTGTGTCTATGCAAACTGGGATCAGCCCTTGAAGTCTCTTTGCACCACTCGCCACAGTTCACCACCAGATGTCAGGGTAGAGCTTACCCTGACCCCGCATACATTAGTAAAGGCCTATTGGCTGTGTCTACATTGGCACCCCTTTCCGGAAAAGGGATGCTAATGAGACACTTCGGAATTGCAAATGCCTCAGGGGATTTAAATATCCCCCGCGGCATTTGCATGAATATGGTTGCCACTTTTTTCCGGCTCGGGGTTTTGCCAGAGAAAAGCATCAGTCTAGATGGGATCTTGCGGAAAATAAGCCCTTTTCCGGAAGATCCCTTATTCCTACTTTCAAGGAATAAGGGATCTTCCGGAAAAGGGCTTATTTTGGGGTTTTGCCAGAGAAAAGCATCAGTCTAGATGGGATCTTGCGGAAAATAAACCCTTTCAAGTAGGAATAAGGGATCTTCTGGAAAAGGGTTTATTTTCCACAAGATCCCGTCTACACTGGTGCTTTTCTCCGGCAAAACCCCGAGCCGGAAAAAAGCAGCAGCCATGTTCATGCAAATGCCGCGGGGGATATTTAAATCCCCCGCAGCATTTGCAATTCCAAAGTGTCTCATTAGCATCCCTTTTCCGGAAAGGGGTGCCAATGCAGACACAGCCATTATGTAGAATACATATGGTTAGAATACATGTACTGGTTGAACCTCTGTTAACTGGGCGTCCCTGGTCCGGCAATGACCACAGATGTTCCAGGACCAGAGAATCCTGGTAGAAGGCTGGTTAGAGGTGTTAAATTTAGATTAATGGGCTACTTGAATAGTCAATGCAATTTGCATCGACTATTCAATTAGTTGATAAGAGTGCCTTTGCCTTTGAACTGTATTTCAAAGGTGAGAGCACTGGCCCTGTGCTCCCCCGGTGTTTCAAAGCAGCAGCGCTGCATGGCGATGAGGTACCCAGCTGACCCACGTGGCACTGCTGCTTTGAAACACTGGGGGAACCCCAGCATCAGGCTCAATGTGATGTTTCAAAGCAGCAGTGTCGCATGGAGCCCAGGGTCAGTGGGGGAGTGACCCTGGGCTCCATGCGGCGCTGCCACTTTGAAATGCTGCATGGAGCCTGATGTCGTGCTCCCCATGGAGCTTCAAAGTGGCAGTGCCGTGTGGAGCTCAGGTTCTGGCTCTGGGCTCCACATGGCTCTGCCGCTTTGAAACACCCTACCTTTTTCTCCCCCCCAGCCCTTGCTGCTTTTTTTTCACAGAGACAGCAAGCAGGAGAAGCAACTAGTCGACTAGTGTGTCCAGTATCCAGTATTTCCTTACTGGATAGTTGACTGGCTGTTCACATCCCTAAGCTGGGTTGCAAGGTATGACCCAGTGGGGCTGCCAAGTAGGGCCAGAAGCTTGGCACGCTATGGTGGGGCCAGGAGTGCAGGGAGCTGGGCTGCCCGGCTTAGCAGGGAAGTGGGTGGGGGGACTGGCATGGTAACAGGGCTGGTGGGGGGTGGCCAGGAGGCCAGCAGCCAGTCCAAGGTAGGGGGAGGGGGACTGTAGCAGGGGGGCCAGATAATGACCTTCCATGGTCCAGCAAAATCCCTCATCTGGGACTGGTCAGATTCTGAGGCTGCCAGACCAGGAAGGTCCAACCTGTATTTACTAACTTGGCTATAAAATCTTTCCCTGCTGAAAATAGATACATAATTTCATCTTGAATCCCCTCTAACGGTATTACTTAAAAAGTTCCCTAATATATGAGGGTACATCTACACTTGCCCCCTACTTCAAAGTAGGGAGGCAAATGAAGGCGACCGAAGTTGTAAATCAAGCGTGGGATTTAAATATGCCGCGCTTGATTAGCATAGTCGTGTCCAGTCACCATACTGAAAATTGACTAGCCCGAAATAGCTCACCGCGTGTAGACACGGTACTCCAAGGGAAAATGCCGTACTTCGAATTAACTGTACTCCTCATTGCCCCAGCTGCTCCCAGGGGTTGGGCCACAAAGCGGGTAGCTACCCTGTGTGCTGGGACTAGAGCCAGGCCACCGTGCTATTTTTAGTACTGCAGCCCAGGCTCCAGTTCCAGCAGCCACCACTCAGGCTTCGTGGTGGCTGCCCAGCTGCTCCTGGGGTGGGCAGTCACCTGCCATGAGACTCCACCCTCAGAAACAGC